CGTTTTGTCTCCGGTCATATGTATTGAACATCCACTGGCAAGATACGACATAGAATTCTTGGATTTGGAAGTTTCTTACAAAACAAGAACATAGTAATCTTAGGTCCCCATAACTTTTGGGTCTTTGGGGTTAGAGACAATCAAATCAATTAACTATAGGAACCCAAACATATTTTCCTTTAGGAACACCAAAATGCTTAATTTTACACCTATTTGAAGTATGACCATGTTTCATACAATAAAAGCATGAATTAGATGTAATCTTTGAAAATGATACATTTTTAATTTTTGAAGTTTTAGTTCCTTTTTCAACCCATACTTTTCGATTTTTGTTTTTAGGCTTTTTCAATGGAACATGACAGTTTTCTCTATTTTGAACAATAACCTTATCCTTATGACTATCACTTAATTCTTTCTTAGCTTTATCAAGTAAGTGGTTAAGTATGTCAATATCATATTCATACTCTTTACATGATGCACATGCTATATTTTTAATATCTTTTTCCTCTAAACATGCAATTTTAGTTTTCAAGGATTCCACCTCTTTTTTTGATTAATTCGAACACTTTTTCACATATTTATATTCATTTTTCAAGTCCTTAAAAGCAGTAAATAATTCTTCATATGCATTTTATAAAGCATCATAATCATTTTCATCATCACTTGAGGAAGAGTCGGAATCACTAACCTCATAATCGGAAGAGATGTTGTCATTTGCCATCAAGCAAATGTTTGCTTCAATTTCTGAATCACTTGATTCCAAACTTGAGTCACTATCATCCCAAGCACTGTAGGTTTTCTTTTTGAAGAATTTCTTGCCTTTATGATCTTCATTTTTCTTGTTTGGAGAATCGGTTTTTACATGTCCTGTTTCACCACAACCGTAACATTTAAAATTTAAGGAAGTACTTTCTTTTACCTTTCCCTTACCTTTGAAGGGTTGCTTCCCTTTGACTTTCATAAACTTTGTAAATTTCTTGATCATGAGATTCAAATTTTCATCATCCTCATTTTCTGAGTCTTCTTCCTCCTTCTTGTTCTTCCTTTTAGAAATTTCAGTTTTGAAGGCAAGATTTCTCTTTTGGTGTTGGCCTTCTTCATCGTTTAGCCTTCCGAGTTCAAGTTCATGTTCTCTTAACTTTCCAAAGAGGGACGCCAAAGACATGGTAGCAAGATTTTGTGACTCCGTGATGGCCGTCACCTTTGATTGCCATTTCCTATCCAAATATTTAAGAATTTTTACATTTAATTCATCAATATAAAAAATTTTACCTAACCCGGTGAGATGGTTCACAATATGTGTGAAACGCTTTTGAACGTCAAAAATCGTTTCTCCTTGTTGCATTCGGAACATCTCATACCCTTGAATCAATGAGTTCTTTCTTGCTCTTTTAACGTCATCGGTACCTTCGTGGGTTACTCTTAGCATTTTCCACATTTCTTGAGCACTCTTGCAAACAGATATTTTGTAAAACTCATCAAGGGTTAAAGCAGATGAAATTATATTTCTAACCCTAACATCATATTGGGCATTTATATTTTCTTCAGCCGACCATCTAGAAAATGGTTTTGGTACTTCTTCTCCATTTTCAGTAATCTTAGGAATAAAAGGACCATTTAAAATTGCATCCCATACACCCCTATCAACAGACTCCAAAAATATTTGCATTCTAACTTTCCAAAAAGGATAATTTTTCCCCGCAAAAAGTGGGGCTCTATCGATAGAAGCACCATCGGCAAAAGTTTGATTTTGTCCGGCCATTTTCGAAAATTGAATGACTATCAAAGCAAGCTCTGATACCACTTGTTAGAATCGCGCAACGGAATGTTTGCGTTTATGGACAAAAATAAAGAGGGGGGTGAATTGGTTTCTTAAACAAAAAATTAGGGTTTTAAAATTTTCCCCAAATTTCACCGATTAAAATGCGTTGTAAAGTAAATAGATAAGGGAAAGAAGATTACACAATTGATTTATACTGGTTCGGATCAAAAGACATTACGTCTAGTTGCTAATCACTCAAAAAGAGGATTAACGCTGTCAATATAATCACAGTTTACAAATTGAAAAGATAAGGAATAGAAAACACCTCTCTTGAGTCACACAAGAGATGAACACCTCCTTTGAATCCACAAAGGATGAAGAACAACTTTTCCTAGAGACGACACAATCCACCAAGAAACTCACTTAGTGATTCTTATCGCTTCTAGCCCACACTAGGTTTTCAAAAGCCCCTTTTTCTTCCCTACAGAAAGTTCTAGCAATCACAACTCTTAACTTTTGTATGAAAAAGGTTTGTTAATTTGTACAGAGCCTTAGAGAACCTTAAGTAGAGAGAATATGGTCTCGAAAATGGGGATTTTTGAAAACAGAAGAATTGGGAATAGGGTTCTCGTAAATTGGTCCAAATTTGAATTTCAAAACACATAACAGACGTAAATAATCGATTATCCTGAGTGATAATCGATTATTCCAGAGCCATTTTCGCAGAGGAATAAAACTGGACCAAGATAATCGATTATCTTACCAAATAATCGATTATTTGCCTGTGATAATCGATTATCCTGAGTGATAATCGATTATCATAGAGAGCTTTTCCTGAAAACAATTTTCTTGTTGTAATAATCGATTATCCTGAGTGATAATCGATTATCACAGTGTATTTTTGATAAAAATGAGTTTTTAGAGCTTTTAAAGGATGGTCTATGTGCTGACTATCTTGGACTCTAATATTACAGACTCAAAAACATAAAAACAGAGTTATTACATAAGATTACAAATCTTCAAATCTCTAAGTTCTTTGTTCTTGAATCATCATCAAAATCTGCAAGCTTCATATCTTTGTATGGTTAACAAAGAAAAGTGAGGGTATTATACGATTTGTTGCTCTTTATGTGGATGATCTCATTTTCATGGGAAATAATGATGAAATTATTTAACAATTCAAGAGCAAAATGACATTGGAGTTTGAGACAATAGACTTGGGTTTAATGAAGTTCTTCCTTGTTATGGAAGTTAGACAAGATGAGACAAGGGTATTTATGTCCTAATAAGAATATACAAAGGAGATCTTGAGTAAGTTTTAAATGGTAGGCTACAATCTAGTTTCAACATCCATGGAACTAAGAATAAAACTTTCTAAGTTTGATGGAGGGGACCGAGTTGATGCAAGTAGATATTGAAGCTTAGAGGGTAGTCTTTGTTATCTCAAAAGTACAATACCAAATTTGTTGTTAAGTTTTGAAATTATAAGTCGATTCATGGAAGACTCGAGCTATGCACAATAGAAGGCGTTGAAGTGAATACTATGACATATATGAGAAATTATGTCACTCAGACTATTTTAAATAAGGTCGGATAATTATAGGTTAGTTGGATACTCAAATAGTGATTGGTGTGGAGACATAAATGATTAGAAAAGTACACATGGATATGTATTTTTCATGTGTATCAAAACTTTTACTTGACTTTTAAATATGCAACCAATAGTAACAATTTCAACGTATGAAACCGAGTATGTGGCAACATCTTGGTGTGTGTCATGTAGTGTGACTCAAAAATCTATTGAGCTCATTAGAGCAATATAGCAACTCGGTGCGACTATGATCCGAGTTGATAACAAGTTAGCAAAGAACCCAATCAATCATGAGAGGGATAAACATATTGATTTTCATTTTCACTTCATTTGAGAACATATGAAGGAAGACAATGTGAAACTAGTGCACATGATAAGTCGAGATCAAATTGTGGATATATTCATGAAGCCACTACTTATAATATTGTTAGAGAATTGAAAAAAGTTGATTGAGATGAAGGATGAAAGAAACATTTAGGTTTATGGGAAAGTTTTACTAAATAAATTTAAATGTCAGTTAATAAACTTAATGTCAGTTTTTACATTTTAATTGAGCAATTTTTTGGTTATTATGGTGAGAGGTCAAGAGTAAATAGTTTTGTTTGTGTTTTGATTGTAGACCATTAATAAAGTTAAAGACTTGAAATTCAAAAAGTCAAATTTCAGTCTATAAATACCTAGTTGTATTGTTTGATGAAACACATAAAGAAATAAAGTATCTAATAGAAAATTTTCTCTTATCATAAATTTTTTTCAATAAGTTCGTAAAAAACTTAAAATTTAAAGTATACATTTCACCTATGTTTTTATTCTTTATTTTCTTAATTAATTAATGTCCAAACTAGGGATAGTAAAATGTGTTAGTCTTATTTGAACTTGTCTCGTTTCGACTCGCTAAAAATAGGACAAGTTAGACTAACTTGTCATAGTTCTAATGGAGTATACACTTGGAAGGTCAATCTATCAATTTTTTTATATCCAAATTTTTTTTATATATTTAAGAAAATACTCTTAATTATATGAATATTTTTAAATCTTTACTCAATAATTAATTTTTATCAAATAAACTAAGAAATATACTAAATTACAAAATATTCAATTATAATTAATAATATAAGTTTAATTTGTTAGTATTTATAATTTAAATGATAATATTATAATATATTTACATATATAACATCACCACAAAAAAATATAATATTGAGTATACTTCATTCAGTTTTTAATTTGTTAGATTAGTAGACTAAATATAATAGGACAAAGTAATTAACAAACTATAGCTACCAACTAATTTATCGTATGACTTATTCTTTGTGTAATTTATACTTATCTTAAAATAGAATATTAGTCTAATGTATTTCTATATTTTGGAGCATGTCAAAATGATAAAATTTAAAATAATTCCAAACAATTCCAAAATGATGGGATATTTGCCATAAGTTGATCATGTTATAAACTTCCCAAAAGCTCATATTTTGTGACATATCTAACATCAAACCTATCACAATTGAATTATATATAGCAAAAATCATATCATGGGTCATCCAATCCATAACAAGTGTAATATGTATATTATTGATTATATGTCACACCAAATAAAATGATACATCTGAATATTTAAACGGAAAAAAATTGATTGACAATCCAATGGTAAAAAAATCCATTCAACAACTTGATTTATTAATAAAATAATATTTATTAATTAATTTTATTTTAAATCAATAACTTTATAAATATAATCTTAATAAATAAGATTGAATAATAGACGTGTTTGTCCAACTGTCACTGTATCATCCCTCTTTTAAAATATTGTAATTTTAACTTTTTGAAATCTCTCTATAATCTCTTAATTTAACTCCCTAAAATTATAATTCCCCAAAATTTTTTAAAAATCAAAATATTTATTCTAACACCTATATATCCTTTTATGTCATCCTATTCGTATTACACTTATTTTGTAATGCTGACACTTATGTTATCCTTTTATGGCTATTTAACCTGCAGATTTTTGAACCTTGGGTACAGAAAAGAAGACTGGAATATGTAAAACATGATCATTTAATATTGAGAATATTACAGCATGTTCACAAGAACACCCTCCAAAGGATATTCACAACAAATGGAACTCCAAATGTGAGTGCCATAAGGTGAGATTTCGAGGAACTGCTACTTTGAAAGTTTGACCCGTGACAAGCTATTTATAATAGGCATACACTTTGCAGGCAATTATATAAGGAAATAGATCAAGATGGGAGTAGTGGTATATCAGCTTCTGAAGTGAAAGACCTTTTACTGAAAAACAAAGTTACTGAAACCAATTTCAATGAGGAGAAAGAAATAGAAGAAGTGTTGCGAATTTTTGACCTGGATGGTGACAAAAAAATAACCAAGGAGGAATTTGTTAGTGGATTCACAAAATGGCTTGAACAAACAAAGCATGCTTTAGAGACACAGTATTTTTCAAGCAAATCACTGAAAAATATATATCAGGTACGTATAGTAATACACTGTGTGTTAAAGAAAAGTGATATCAACATGTTAAATTTAATTAAAAATTCAAAGCCAAGACTTCTAAAAGTTGTTTGGTGATGATAGATATGGGAGGAACAGAAAGGCAGTCTTGACAATATTTGGTGAAATTGTTGAAGATGGATTTAGGAACAGAAAATTTGAGAATTAAGAATGCCTTGCAGGAACTTCATTCTGGCAAGTAATAATGTTGAAAGCATTGACAGGTTTTTGGACCATGGATTGAAAACAAAAGAAAAGAACGTGAAGGAAAGAAACAGCTTATATGTGAAATCTTAAGGCATGTTCAAAGTGATGTGGTTGGTAGCCTTCTCACAGTAGATGGCAAACCTGATGAACATGCTATAAGAAGGTCAGTATTATTTAATTGAACTTCTTGGCATAAATACAATGCATTTTATTAAATGTGAAATCCATTTCAAAACCATTTACTACTATTAGTAGTTCAAAATGTAAATACCACATTACCTGTAACTAGCCTCAGATATTGAAAGCTTCTAACTCTTCGTGAGAATCCTGAAATGGTTGCAGTTTGTACAGTTTACTTGTCTAACTACGAGCACCAGAAATCATAAAATTCCTTCTTAATTTTTTTCCACTTCCTTGTTCTCATAGCCTCTGTGATAACCAGGTTATTTGAGAAAATTGATCGCAACAGAGATAACTTCATTTCCCAATCTGAGTTGAGAGAACTAATCATGAACATCAAATTTGTTAAAGCATCAATGGAAGTGGAAGAAGCAGTTGCTCTTGTCATTGAAGAACTTGACATTGATAACGACCACATAATTAATGAGGAGGAATTTGTCGTTGGGTTTCAGAAATGGCTTGGCTCTACTTCAGCTCCTGCTCCAGTGTCACATTCTGAGCCTCAAGAAGACATGTATCAGGTACAATATTTTGAGGGAATTTAGTTTGACCCTTATAATTTTTTTCTTTTATCTAAAATTATTGCTTTTGGTCTTCATTGTAAAGTAATTTGAGTATTAGTTTAGCATAAATTCAAAAGAATATATTTTAGTCGACAATCTTAAAAAGTAGTGATTTCATATTTTAAAAGATGAAATCTAAAGAACTTTTTAGAACAAAAATCAAAATTTTACTATTTTTTGAAATGTAAAACCATATTAAAATCTATAAAACAATTAACAACTTTTACTTGTCCTGCTTCATATTTTATTTGTACAAAGTCAGCAATGTCAGCTTAACATTCATTTTGTGCATACAAGACCTGGGAAGAGGCTGACATGGTGGTGGAAGAGATGCAAAGTAAAGCAGTAGTTGACAAATCAATTAGGGCATGGCTTAAGGCCATATTATATGTGGTGCTAGGAATTGCTATGCTATCCATTTTGGCAGAGCCTCTGACAGAAAGTGTCCACAACTTCTCTAAAGGTGTAGGACTCCATCCATTCTTCATGTCATTCATTCTAGTCCCCTTGGCCACAAATGCTAGAGAAGCAGCTTCAGCAATCAAAGAAGTAAGAGATAAGAAGCCTAGAACCACCTCTCTTGCCATTTCTGAGGTCAGTGTGTCTCATCTCCTTCACCAATTTCATTCCACAAACTCAATAATTGTATATGTATAAACCATTTTCTGGGGACTTAAAAATTATGGTCAGTGCAGATATATGGAGGAGTATTCATGAATAACATTCTTGGCTTCTTAGCAATCTCAGTTCTGATCTTAGTGGGACAAGTGACTTGGGAATTCTCAGCTGAATTTCTGGTTGTTGCTATTGTTTGTGCTATAACAGGCATTGCTGCAAGTTTTCACTCCGTTTTTCCTCTATATTCAGCAGTTTTTGCAATCCTCTTGTACCCATTTTCCTTGGTTCTGGTTTTTGTACTTGACCAAGTTCTTAACTATAATTAACAATCTCTGGAGTGTTGTGACATGATAAAATGCGTTTAGGAGAGGTTTGTAAATTTGATTTTTACCAAACATTATTAAATTTAATGAGTTTTCATTCAATACATCAGTTAATATATTTTCTTTAATTTGTGAATATTCATTTAAAATATATTTATAAGCCAATACTTCTGTCTTCCCTTTAATATAACGACTCAGCTACTAATAATAAACACATTTTTGGTTTAATTTTCAATCCGATATGAGTTACTATTTGTAGATGGCTTCTACAGTTTAACTCCAGTTTAATCCTTAAATTATATTTTAATATAAAATATTGGGAAAGTGAATGATTCTAAATAATAAAAAATAAACGTATGTCTGCGTGAAGCCAAGTATGAGATAAGACTATTATCTGTAGTTTTCAAAATTTATAGAAAATCCCAAAGAAAGACGTGGAAACAAATACTTGAATATACGTCCCTACAAGAATTTAAGTTTGATTTCCACTTGCACTCTTCGAAAAGGAAACAAAAAAGATCGAAGCGAAATCTTTCAAAAATAGAAAAGACTAGAGAAATTCATCATCGACAACTTGTTATAACAAAATGATTATTAACAATATGATGATATCTAATATAAGAAAATTTAAAATAATACTTTATAATATTTTATATAAATATGAGAGAGAGGGACAAAATATGGATTGTTTATAAGCATTTAATTTTATTATATTACTTATTATATTTATCAATTTTAGATTCATAGATGTTAATTTAAAATTCTCAGATAATTTCATGTTAATTTCATTTTATATCAATTTTAAAGTTATCAAATTTTTCTTAATTTTAAAATTCGTAAATAATTTCTTACATAATAATAATAATTGTATTTTAAAAAAATCTTAGGAAATTTTATATATATTATTGTTGTTTTGAAATCAAATTGTATATGGAGAATACATGTGTAACAAAAGTATCCTGCCACGTTTTGAAGCTAGCAATTCCTATACCACATGTTATCTAATTCAGAAAGATGGAACGAACACAATTTGTTGCAACTTGGTGGTCTATTTTGTCCATTAGTGATGCCGACTTAATAGTCTATTTAGTCATTAGTGATCCCCATGTGTCAGAATTCATGTTCCCCTGCCTTAACTATACATAGCAAAACCGGTTAGCTAGGTTTGGTTGCTCAGTCAAACATTCCGTTAAAAAACTAATAGGATGGGTCCAGATTTAGATTTAGTCTGGAAGCACATTTCTAATCGGTCAATCTAATAAGATAAATTAATTTATTTTAAAATAATATTAATATATTAAAATAAAAAAAAATTATAATTAAAAATATTAACTTTTATATTATATTATTAAAATACGTAAAAATATTATTATACTCTCAATATAATTTTATATGAGAAAGATCCGAGTTACGTCATTCATATAGTTACGGATAAAAAGTAATATAATTATTGAATCTATCTAATCACAAATGGTTGATTACATGCATTACTGACTTGAATGTCAGAGTATTTTGTAGATACCCCACCTCTGATTTTCTATTGCCATTACGAGATTCGAGTACTGAGAATAAAAACGAAAGTCGAGTATCGAGAATGGAAGTCGAGTACCAAGAGTGTAAGTCGGAGACCAAACCAGATAACTGTTCACAGCAAAGGTAGGTTTGTGTTCGGTCATATAAGAACATAACACTACTAGAAAAATGTCAAATAAGTAACCGAAATCAGTGATCGAAAAATTTAGTTATTATCAGTGACCGAATCGATAACCAAATTATTATTTTTTAGTCTAATAATCAGAAATAGTAATCGAATTTTCGGTCACAAAAAATCGGTTACTTATTTCGAGTCACTTTATTATTTAATTTATTTTTTTAATTAATCTATATTTAATTTATGTAATTATTTACTACAAAAATGGTTAATAGTGATCTGAAATTAGTGATCGATTTTTTTATATTTAGTAACTGATTTAGTGACTAAAATTTCGATCACTAAAAAAATAATTTTTAAACCGATTACTATTTTTCATTTATATAAATATTTTATTTAAAATATTTTAAATATAAATTTACTTAATGATTTAAAATAATTGATAACATTTTTAATAAAATTATAAATATTTTAAAAAAATTGTTTACTAACTTATTAAATAATTTAGTAATATAATTATTTGATTTTATTTTTTAATTTAGCATGTGAATAAAAAAATTAAAATTGATTATTAAATTAGTCACCGAATCGGTCATTGATTCGGTCACCAGAATCGGTCACTAATTCGGTCACCGATTCGGTCACTAATTCGGTCATCGATTCGGTCATCGAATCGGTCATCGATTCGATCATCAGATCGGTCACTAAATCAATAATTAAATTAATTATTAATTTAGTCTCTTTATATATATATATATATATATATATATATATATATATATATATATATATATATATATATATATATATATATATATATATATTACTTGTATGTTAATAAAAATGTATTTCAATGTATTTATAAAAAATTAAAATTATTTTAATTACTTGAATTGATATTTTAAATTTATATTAATATCTTGAATAATTTAATAGTTGGTATATATATATATATATATATATATATATATATATATATATATATATCACTTTAATTTTTTTAATTAAAATTAATTTCATAAAAAAATTAATATTTGAAAATTAAAATGCAAAAATATATATATATATATATATAAATTTATTTATTTTTTAAAGATGATATATTCAATGTATGTTAAAAAAGTTCAAGCCAAACTTGTTTTTATAGAAGATTTTCAAAGCTATCTGGTTTAATTAATCTGTTAAAAGATTCTTTTAATATGTTAAAAGTGCAGTTTTAATCTGTTAAAACTTCTTTTAATCCATTAATACGTTCTTGATTCTTTAACATGATTTGTTTTAACTGATACGACAACGTTTATATCAATTAAAACACTTTACAAAAAATCTTCTAAGTTGATTTAATCGATTGTTCGCGATTCAATCGATTGAAATACTTGCAAAACTTTCTCCTAAAACTTTTCAAGTTATTTTAAGCGATAAAAATAAGTTTTAATCGATTAAAACGCTTGTGCAGAAATTGTTTTAATCGATTGAAACTAGATTTTAATCGATTAGAATAGTTATGATCGGTCATAATTGCATTCGACCGATCATAATGGAAACCATATAATAGCGGTTCAACGGTTAACCGCTATCTAAGTGACCTTTTAAGAGCGGTTCTGTGTAACCGCTATCTAAACTCTATCTCGCTTGAGCGACAACTTTCTCGCTCGAGCGAAACGCCCCTGCACAAAATTGGTACTCTCGACTTGTATTTCAGCTTGAGCGAGTCTAGTCTCGCTCGAGCGATAATTGATTCCGATCGATTATATTTTTGAAATGATCGATCATATTTGATAATTTTTTCAAATAATTAATTATAATCGATTAGTTTTCTAAATTATTGATTAGAATTGATTAGTTTTTCAAATAATAGATTAGAATTGATTAATTTCAAAATATATACTAAAAAAATATAATTAAAACTATAAATTAGTTAAGAATATTGACTATTGTAAAGATAAAGTAGAAACATTGGAGGAGATGAGGATGATAATATAATGATAGAACTTACAAAAATGTAGAATTGAGAAGTTTGAAACAAATAAAAATAAGAAAATAGATATTTAATTACACTTTTAATAAATTTAAGATAATACTAGTTTTAATTTTTATTTTTAAATATTTATTTTAAATATTTAAAACAGAGAAACTATAATTTTAGTTTCTAGCTACTGAATTTAAAGAATTAAATTTATTATTTAATCTTTTAATTTGTAGAATTAAACTCAATATAATTGTGAAAAATACTTTGTAGAGGCATTTGAGAAAGCTTTTGTCAAAATACTTTGTTTTTAATTGTTAAAAACATTTGTAGAGGCATTTGGCAAAACATAATTGAGATGATATGATAGCGGTTCCACCTTAACCGCTATCTAAAGTATAATTAAGATAGCGGTTAATGGTTAACTGCTATTAGAAGTTCACTTTTAAGAGCGGTTCTGTGAAACCGCTATCTAAAACGTATTTCGCTTGAGCGACAATATTCTCGCTCGAGCGAAACTCCAAGTGCACGAATTCGCATTCTCGGGGTGTATTTCGCTTGAGCGACACTACTCTCGCTCGAGCGAAATACAATCCTGATCGATCATAACTTGAAATGACCGATCATAATTGAGAGGATATAATAGCGGTTCCCTCATAACCGCTATCTAAAGTGCATATGAGATATCTGAAGTTGTATTTCGCTGAGCGAGACTACTCTCGCTCAAGCGAAGTCCGATTCTGATCGATTATATTTTCAAAATGACCGATCATATTTGATAATTTTTTCAAATAATTAATTATAATCGATTAGTTTTCTAAATTATTGATTAGAATTGATTAGTTTTTCAAATAATAGATTAGAATTGATTAATTTCGAAATATATACTAAAAAATTATAATTAAAACTACAAATTAGTTAAGAATATTGACTATTGTAAAGATAAAGTAGAACATGGGAGGAGATGAAGATGATAATATAATGATAGAACTTACAAAAATGTAGAATTGAGAAGTTTGAAACAAATAAAATTAAGAAAATAGAGATTTAATTACACTTTTAATAAATTTATGATAATACTAGTTTTGATTTTTATTTTTAAATATTTATTTTAATTATTTCAAACAGAGAAACTATAATTTTAGTTTCTAGCTACTGAATTTAAAGAATTAAATTTATTATTATTTAATCTTTTAATTTTAGTATTAAAATTTTAAATTATATTTTTCTACTTTGAGAATGAACCATATAATTAAACTCAAAATTGACAATATTATAATACATTTTTGAACTCTTTTGGATTAATTTTTTTCCTAATTTTTGATAAAGTTAATTTTAATATTTAAAAGTATTTAACATTTTGAATTCGAAAGGTTTTCTCTAATA